TCCGTGTTTGTCAAGAAAGAGAACTGTCATAACGTTCTCTCAACTCTACGTGCTCACACCGGCTCGCTGTGCTGTCTCTAACCGGCGCTGTTCCGCTTTGCGGTGATCGGTGCCTGGGTGGTTAACGTGCCGGCGCGAACGAGCTACAGTTAGCGCTTTAGATGCTTCGCTCTGCCGGAATCGCCGGCGAGAGACGCCATTAAACCGGTAGCCGTGGATAAACTTTCGCGATTGTTAAGCAAACCCGCTGGACCTGTTTGACATTAAATGGTCTCGCGATTTTGATGAGGATATTACATAAAGGTGCGCCAATACGACTGTAGCTCGCACTTTCCGGTGTCGTCCGCAATCGACCGCATCGCCGATTTTCCTCGATTTTTTACGACCTCTGTTTTCGTCATATATTCAGATTAAATACTTAATTCTTATCTTGCATCGAATCTCATGGCTATACTTGACAAAACAAGCTTAAAATCACATGATTATATTCAGCTTGAAGTGGACAATAAAAATGCACGAGTTGATAGTCGAGTTGTTGTTATCAGACTTAAATAACGTTTACGCTGAACGCGATCCAAGCGCCTGGCAAACACGCTCGGTATCAGGCGGCCGTTCTCGACGCACGTTTAGTTAAATATGCGCCGGGAACGTGGCTGCTACGTAAGTCGTAATATTCTCGAGGAAAATACAAACAGCGAGCTGCGCGGAGCACGCATGTCGGCGTGGTGTGTCACGTATGTAAATGAAACGGTTGTAGCTCGCGAACGAGCCGCGGTTTAAGCCGATTCGACGTGACGAGCGCCGAGGAGCGGGAGAAGACGGTGATAATAGCACGTGTGTTTGCGCGCCTCGTGAGCCACGAAAATGTCGATCTATCGGTTCAGCAAGGGGAACAGGCTGTTCGTGCAGGGCACGAGGGAGGACGACGATCGTAACGGCGTCTCGCCGAGTCCAACGGGGTCGCGCACCGCCGACGATCTTCAGGCTGTATACACGAAGCGCCGACTGTCGACCGAGGTCTTAGGTAGACGATCGAAAACACGGAGAAAGAAGGAAAGGATTCACCTGGACGATCGGGAGGAGGGGGGGATGTCGGAGAGAGTGGACCGGTTGACAAGTTGCATGACGCGCGAGCATGACGTCCCGCTGAGAAATCGTGACGATTTCCTGAACACTAATTTCCAATTAACTGAAAAGTAATCCGTTTGAGGATGATTGTTATCTTCGGTTAATTGGTCCTTACGAGAACAATGAGAAATTATAAGTTGCGGGTTGACTGTTGAATTCGGATTACTCTTCTCTGATATAAGAAGACACACTTATTTGTATAATGGAATAATCATATAGCGTAATACGATCCGAGAAACTCCCAGTGAAATTACACGATTTCGGCTTGCTGCAACAATGCTGGCATATCGCTGGCATCGATTTGCAGCTTGCAGCAATCTCTCGGGCGTTTCTCCGGTGCCGGTTGTCCTTTCTCAGCGAGGTATAATAAGCTGTTACGTCATCGTGACTTAAAGAGGCTCGTCCATCTCACTCGACTAAATTCAATTGCAATTTACCGTATTCTGCGAAGTTAACCGGCGAAAATTTCCTTGTTAGTAATTGAGAAACGCAATCAGAATTTTTAAATCGGAAAACAAATTAATATTTAGGCAATCAAAATCAGTGCGTCGTCAGGTGAATCCTTTTCCAAGTCCGATCGCAGGAAACCGTTGCTCAACGGTTTGTTCCTCGTTTGTATCGCACGTTCGCACGTGCTGCAGGTTCGTCGATCGAGTCGACGAAAACGTCGAGACGCGGCGAGAACGGCACGAAACGCATCGTCACTCGCATCGTACGTAAGACGACGACTTTGACGCGCGGCGAAGAACGCAGCGTCGCCGAAGACTTAACGAAACGCGCCCAACCGAAATACCTGCAGGATGCTAATTCATCGACGACGGCCGTAATTCGGCACGTTCCAACGAAAGCAAAAACTGTGCGGGTAAGCGATGCTGCGTGGAAGATTGCCGAAAAATTCCGTTGCTTATAGATTATGATAATATTAGATGAAAAGGATAAATATTATGCCAATTAAGAATCGTGTTTAGCTTTGATAATTGGCATGATTCATAAGTTTATGAAGCACTATGATGTGTCATAAACATTTCAATCGGAAAAGATACTCGCATTCAAGCTTCTAGTCCCTCGCTGCAATCACATTTAATTATAACATCAAAAGCGAGAAATTGTATCAAACTTTTTTTGCATTATGCGCTGAAATGAAACAGTTCTTTTGTATGTCATTCATGTGCGATAGTGTATAGATTGATAATAAAATATACTGAAGCCATAAGTAAATAAATAACTGTAAATTTTGATCAACTGTCATGTCTAATTTTGCTGAAAATATAAGATATGACAGATTGAATTATATTTGCGTATCATTAAAGTACTAATTAAGGCTAATAAGAATCAAAACACAATTAATTAATTTTTGAATTTTTTAAATAAGACTACGGAAAAATGTAAGATTCTTTTATTTTAATATAAAGGATCGAATAAATATTTTTTAATTGACGAAAATTTATATAAAATTCTGAGTATATTTAAATTATATAAAAATCACATCGTCACATGCGTTTAGCCTTTTATTAGCCTTAATTTATACTTTAGTGATTAAATAACAAACGAGCTTTTATTTATTTACCAATTATAGATAATAATAAAGGAATTTTCGGCATATTTTATCAATTGCGCAATTGAGAGATTAAAAGTAAATAATATGATATGCGGAAAAATTTATTTATTTCGACATTACACATCGTGCAAGAAAAATATTCACGTGATTTCTCGCTTCAATTTAACGTGCAGCAAGGAAGTAGGAGTCTTAAACTTATCGTAAAGGCACTCGACTTTATAAGCCGTGCTCTTGCAAAACGAACACTCTCTCAACGTAACGGACGCATCACCTTAATTAGGATTAGAACGCCGACCACAACGATACGTGCTCGCTATGGTATGGTATGGTCCCGTAGTGCTATTGCCATATTCAGCTTAAATCCGTCATTTCGCCCTCCGTGATTAATTCGAGATATTTTCTTTGTGGCGCCCAAGACGAACGGTCACGTTTTCGTGTTAGCAGCACAAAGAATGAAAGTGGAAGAAAAAGCCGTTTCTACTTATTTGTCGATACCGCTTTCGATGTTACTTAAGTGGTGACAGACGAGATTGGCCGGACGTTTTCAGAACGTTAGCGCCGTCGTACGCGCTCGCTGGAATTATGCCCTATTTTGATGTTCGATAAATCACATTACGCGATGATCAAATGCGCACCGGCAGCCTCCTCCTGCAACCTGTTGCTGCGTGGGTTGGGGAGGAGAAACAGATGGCATAATCGAGCCGGCTCGTCCAAATAACACACATCTCGCACGCAAGCGCGAGAAAAGATGCTGCTCCTAATACTAATGTGGGCTTTTATGTCAATGGCAACAGTCTCAAATGGTCGCGGTTTCAATTTAAGCGTCGGTGCCAATGTCAAGTCTATTGCCAATGCTATTTGTCTTTATTATTTCACTACTTGAGCGAGTTTGGTAGGCAGCCAGGCGATGAAGTGCTCTTTCATCGTTATAAACACCTAGGAGGGAACGAGCAAGAAGGTCTTCGGGGAACGCATGCGAGGAATTCTTAATAGCTTAATAGTTTAATTCATAAATTTATTGCTGCAAAAGTCATTCGGTAAAATTGAACCCAGACTTGTAAGGTTTTAAATCAATTTTTATTAATTGAATTTATTGATTTTACAGAAACATATTTTTATATGCTTAAAAAACTTTGAGCTTTGAAATCGATAATAGACTTTCATGGAAAAGCGACAAACTTTCGCACCAATCTTTAATGCAATAAAGTTTTGATGAACAAAAGGAGTTTAAGTAAATATTTTTTTAAATTTTATATTAGCGTCAAGTCTTAAAATGCAATGCATTCTCTTTGAATTGTCAGATTGTTATTTCTATAATAGAAGCATTTCAATAAAACATACGACTAGAAATAGGAAGGAAAAGCTTATTGAAACTTTTATAAAAGGAGAAATAATTTTATTGCGCTATTATTAAAATAGCACATCTTTTAGCCAACAATTTTTCTCATTCATCAAATATACTCATGTATTTGCTGTCGTTTTTACGAATACAAATAACCGTTAGTTCAGTGAACTTGACGTAAATGAGAAATAAGTCTTACGCAATAACAGCACGTAATTTGTGATAATCGATCAACAGGCAATTTAGATAATACAGAAAGATTTACGCCGACATAGGCGATGTAGCATATATCTATGCGAGATAAGATAACTGGCGCTAAAGTTGTCAGAATGACGTGAGAACGCGATAATTACTCATAAAAATTGTCTTCACGTCATAGAAAATTGTTTACTAAATACATAAATTTTTACCTCAAAAGACCCGAAAGAAAAATTATATGATGAAAAACACGATAACACTTGAAAAATTCAAGTTGCGAAAATTGAAATTAGAATTTAATATTAATATATAATATTTGATAGTCGCGTGATTAATGCCGTGGCTAATGTTCTCTCGGCGAGCAAAATGTCAATAGTTCTTGAAAGGTTGCAGCTTTCAGTTTCCATCAACGTCAAACTAGAAATTAGAACCGTGAAAGGGGTTGCAAACACGTGTGGCGTTTATATAACGCGCACAATTTTCTACACGGCAATTTTTAATTAAGCCTTTAACTTTCGAATACGCGGTAATAAATGTTTATCGAGTACAACCATAATTAAAGATTTTACAGGCTTCTATTCTTCAAAGAAAAAATTTTATTTTAATTTCGAAATGATTATATTATATGTTTAATTATAATTATTTCTTTTCTGTATTAATTATTACAATAGCAAAATTAAAAAAATCGTGATCGAAGGGCGAACCAAAATATTTTTATATCCTGTACATTTTTAAGAAGCTTTTCTTATTTTATTTAATGTCTTTCTCTTGCAGATATCCGACATCGTAGTCGGCCAGGAACCGAACGTCACAGCGCGCGAGGCCCTCTTGAGATGGGCCCGACGATCGACCGCCCGATATCCTGGCGTGCGTGTGACCGATTTCACCTGTTCCTGGAGAGACGGTCTGGCTTTCAGCGCTCTTCTCCACAGGAACCGACCGGATCTGGTCGACTGGAGAACCGCGCGTTCGAGCCAGGCTCGAGAACGGCTTGATCGGGTCTTCTATGTCGCCGAGCGCGAGTACGGCGTTACCAGGCTTCTCGATCCAGAAGGTAATGACCGATTATCGATCCGATCAAGTGCACCGTGCCGAAATGCACGGTGGTTTTGTAAAGCCGTCTGACATCTGGCTATTGACCGATGAAGATAAGATTGTATTTCATCGTAAATTCGAAATGGCAGAATATCAAGTGTATTGCAGTTTCTTTTAGGTCGCGTGTGATTTGCGGTTTTTTTCTTCTAATGAAATCTTCCACAATGCAATCCTATTCTGCTGTTTCTTCTCTCTTTTATGCGCGTCTGCACGAAGGTGTAGTTCCCGTGGGTTACTGCCGCAGATACGTATAGCGGTGGTGCGCGTTCTTTCTGGTCACGGTATCTGACCAGAATCGCTTCCGGTCTCGGTTCGTGCACCGTAACGTCGCGCCATCGGCAGTCGTCGTAATTATGCTTTCTATATGCTTGGATCTCGCAGGTATCTGACATTGGTCAGGTTACAAAGGAAACGTATCTATAGATAACATGTTTATAATTCGATACGGCTGGCCAGAGATTTTACCTGATTTTCTCCGCTGTACAGATAACATTCATCAAGTTCTTTAATAACTTTTTGTCATTAATTTATTATAAACGATAAACTTATTTCTGAAATATTTGTAAAATATTATTTTGGAACATGATGAAGCCAGCGTGTGACGATAGTTTGCGGAAGGCTGGGAAAATCGTTCATTAAATTCACTTTCTATATACCGCGTGACTTACGCAAGTATTTTATTATGCGCAGACGTTGATACCCCTGAGCCGGATGAGAAGTCCTTGATAACGTACATCTCTTCGCTCTACGACGTGTTCCCGGAGCCACCGGCCATTCACCCTCTGTACGATGCCGAGGCGCAGAGACGATCCGCGGAGTATCGCGAACTCGCGAGCTCGCTTCATTTGTGGATCCGCGAGAAAATGGCCCTCATGCAAGAACGATCGTTCCCGCCGACCTTGATCGAGATGAAGAAACTCGCGGCGGACAGCGCGAAGTTCAAGAACGAGGAAGTGCCGCCGCGATACAGGGACAAGCAGAGATTAACGTACATCTTCCGAGACTTGCAAAAATATTTCGAAGCGGTGGGTGAGGTCGACATGGAACCGGAACTGCACATCGACATCATAGACAAGAATTGGAACCGCCTGATAATGCTGCATCAGGAACGTGAGCAGGCCATTATCGATGAAATTAAACGGTAAGTTGAAATTAGTCAATTTGTTTGGTTTAATTGTCTATTTAATTGTTCGATTTAATATCGTTTAAATGTGTGGGTGCGCACAGACTCGAGCGTCTGCAACGACTTGCCGAGAAAGTACACCGCGAGATGAAAGCGACCGACAACAGATTGGAGGAGCTCGAGAGACGCGTGGAGGACGAGGCTCGCCGGCTCGATCGCCTGCATCCTTTGGAGGCGAAACACGCGGTGGATCTACTCGAGCAGGACATACGTAACACGGAAAGCCAGATACAAAATATATTCACCGATGTGCACACCCTCACTGAGGGTAGATACAGCCAGGCGCCCGAACTTCACAAGAGGTAAGACACTGACATTTATTTTCGTGCTGTAACGATTTTATTCATGTTTCGCATCGATATGCAATTAAAAATCATCCGCACGTTGCGTGTCTTCTGTTCCCGTCTGATAATTACATTGTTTTCTATGCTCATAATCTTCGCTAATGAGTGGACTATTAGCGCGCTTTCCATCGCTGCATGGCAGCTTTCCAAAATCAAATGGTGCGCCAACGTGTTTAGCAACTTTCCAAATACCAAATAACATTTAAGAAATTTATTAAACTTGACTGTTTAATTATTTTTAAATAATAGTTATAATGCATGCAAAAGTCAAGGTGTTAAATAAAATAATATACGCAATATATAATTAATATAATTATATTAACAAATATG